AGGTTTGAAATGGGTCTGTAATGAGCCAGGATTTCGGGGTCAAGTGACGGTATTTGAAGATGGGGGCGGATAACTGCAGTTTTGAGAGCTGGAGGAACCTGACCGGATTTGAGTGACTGGTTGAGGATTGCTGTGATCAGTGGACTGATGGCTGTAATGTTGGATTTTAATAATGGTGTGGGGAGAGGGTCCAGTGAGCATGTGGAGGTTCTCATGCACTTTGTGATCCTCTCCACCTCTGTCTGAGAAATGCGTGAAAAGACAGAAAATGTGTTGAATGGGTTTGTGAGACTGATTTTTGGAGGAAGGTGAAACTCTTCTACTCTTATGCCACACTATCAGTATGTTAAAATAAGAAAGTGACTCAAACACATAAGGATACTGAAGGATTTTAATTGGTTGAAGCCAACATGTCCACTGTGCACTGAAGTCAATATCTGTATGTCTGTGCTGTGTGCCTCTGTGTTTATCAGAATGCAGTGATGACCACCCGTGCCTGGGTTTACATGATGAAGCCAACTTCAGACATTTTGGGGTGGCCCTGATCACACTGTACGGCCTATGCACCGGAGACAACTGGAACGTGATTATGAAAGTATGTACTCACTCCCTCATGACACACAAGTTCTATACATACGGATCCCCCAACCACTGCCCCCCCTGGCAACTTCCAATTAATTAATTTCAGGAGTGTTTAGTCAGTGGACAACAAGTCAGCTAAACAATTTGTCTACAATTCAACATATATGAAGTACATATATGAATAATGAATAATTACATTTGATTAAAATGGAGCAGTTCTTTCAATGAAACTTCTCAGGGAATCATTTGGGGAATCGTTAGGAAATTACAGACCCATAAAACAAAGCATTACAATGATGTTGTATCCTAACTTTTGCGCTACCGTTTAGTTTCCAATTGTCAGTTTATTATAATTTCTGTGGTTTTGAAGTAAGAATGATTTTGTAATGTTGTCTCCAGTCTGTGTGCCAGTCCCTCTTCCTTTCTGAATCTTGCTCTGTGTCTCTCAAGGACACACTAAGAGAATGTCATCCTGATGAGCACGGCTGTATGAGATACCTTTCCTGGGTCTCTCCGTTGTACCTCATCAGTTTCGTGGTTATGGCTCAGTTTGTGCTGGTGAACCTGGTGGTCGCATCGATCATGCAAGCGCTGGAGGACACCAAAGAGGTACAGTTGCAGTACATACATCCGTTCTTTGGTTAGAACAGAAGGACTGTGCTGTGGGAGGAAACATGACAAGAACAAAATAATAATAAACAAAGCTCTGATTTCTAACTTTGACATTGTCGTACCAATGGAAGAAGAATATTTGTATATCTCACAACAAACCTACTGACTCTGCTGTCTTCTCCCAAAGGAGGAAGGCCGGCTGTCTCCAGGGGAGAGCGAAAGACCAAGCTCCAGCCACGTCAACGCAGAATAAATTGCAGAATGTTTTTATCAATAGTTATTTAATAGTTATTTTAATTTCCCAAAAGGTTCAACTATTCCTTAAACTAAAATACAGGATGAGATTAAAGTTCAGTCATCCAATGATGTTCATTTAAAAATTACTTTTTAACCTCCTTATCTGTGCAATAATGGATGTTTGCTTTGTAATAAAATGAATATTTAGCTTTTTAGACTGAAGCACATTTTGTTACACAAAGATCAGACACACTCAGCTGATGTGCTACTAGGTGCAAACAAGACAAAGAGACTTTTTGGGGCAACTGTAATCATTGCCTGAATAGTTTTCTCTGGTTTAAATGTCACAAGGAGCCTACCACCTCGTCTGCCTGATGCATCACGAGCTTACAGTTTAAAGATGATGACGAACGAGAGAACAACCTTTCCCTCGATTTAAATGGAGTCACCATTTGCTCAGACTGAAGAGGTTCCTGTCGCTGAGCCAGATCAGCTGAACTACTGTAAACCAGATCCATGTCTCCTCCTGGGGGACTGCAGTGTGAAAGGGAGAGCTTGTGTCTCGCAAATGTGCAAAAACATTTGAACAAGTCAAAGACCCGTGTAGGTCAGAGTCCAGTCTGAACGACAGACCGTCCTCATCACAACATCCCAAACCCCGTCCTCCTCAGTGTTTCTAATTGAGTGCCTTTAATCTGCAAGACAAAGAAGTTGTTATCAGTCAGGAGGGTCACGCTCGATCATACTCGAATACCTACACGTAAAAGAATAGTTCAACATTTCGGGAAAGCTCATTGGCTTGCTTGCCAAGAGTTGCACGTGAAGACTGATACCACACTCATATCTGTAGACTAACATGAAGCTACATCCAGCAGCAGGTTAGCTTAACTAACGAAGACAGGAAAACAGCTTGCTAAACTCATTAATTAAATTATTTATAACCTCCTGGAAGTCACTGCTCCCAGTTAAAACACAGTCCGCTATATAACTCAAAGAGTAAACCCACAAATTGTTGTTTTTACACTTTGGTTTTGTACAGATTAAACAAACAGGCTGTGAATGTGTAAATTTGTGAGCTTTAAAAATTTTGTCACGTTTGGACGGAGTGAGGCTAGCCGTTTCCCCCTCGACTTTATGCTAAGCCAAGCAAGTAGTATCGTTTTTCACATGCATCATATCAACCTTCCTACTATGCCTTTAGCTGAAAGAGTTTAAAGCAGAATAATATTAAGTAAACAAACAATTCAGACAGAAAAAGGAGGAAGAAAATTACCTTTATCTTGTGGATCATCTTTAATCTTGCAGCAGCATCTAAACAAGAACCTTGCAGATAAAAACAACCAACATCAGAAGTTTTACACAACCTCAGGTTACTAAAATATTATCACCGTGTATTTCATGTTACCTGCGACTGATCGATCACCAGCCAGCGCTCGGTGCTCGTCTGCATGTCCTGTCCGCTCAGAGGCTCCCGCAGTCGGATCTTCACCAACACGACCTCCTGTGGCCTTACGCCCGTCCATCACCTGTCATGAGAGACACGAGGATCTAAGTTACGGATGTTTACAGGCACATAAGTCATCAGTGAGCATCTTAGAGAACAAGACTTGTTTCTGTGGACGTTGTCAGGATCAAACTCAGCAACAAACTTCCTTCCTGATCTTTCCTCTCTCTCGATCGGCTTAGTTTTCGATGTAAAAGGCGACTCACCTCTACGATCTCTCTGACTTCGCTCTGTGACTCCAGTTTGTCCAGCTTTACAAGGGCCGTCCCGATTGGCTTGTCGCTCCGCAAGAAACCGCTGTGAGACGACACATCGACAGCATCACTGCCACAGTCTGAACACGACAACACTGAAGCTTACTTTCATCTACTCTGACATGAATGCAGTTGTGAGAAGAGAAAGAGAGAGAGTGAGCGAGAGACAGATGCAGTCCCCTCTTAAAGTATTGTTACGGTAAGGTAAATAGGCAAATTCCTTTGTTTTTCACTGAAGATATTTGGATTTAAGATCAAAAGGTGAGTACGAGACAAGAATTCAGGATTTCAGCTCTCATTTCTTGGTATTTACATCTAGATGCTTTAAACACCTCAGGACATACCACCCTTTGTTTGATTCCACCCATTTTTCAAGGGAGCAAAACTATTGGAACATGTGACTGTCAGATGTTTCTTGTTGCCCAGGTGTTGCCTTTTAGGTTGATTGTCCAAACATTAAATAGCTCTGCATGACTGGTTCAAACCTATAAAGACTGTGTTTCCTGTTAAAGAGGATAAACCAACACGAAGACCAGAGAGCTGTCTATGGGAGAAAAGCAAGCCACTGTCAAGCGGAGAGATGAAGGAAAATCGACCAGAGCCATTGGACAAACATTGGGCATAGCAAGCACAACAATTTGTAACGTCCTGAAAAAGAAAGAAACTACTGGTGTACTGAGCAACAGACGTCGAACAGGTCGGCCAAGGAAAACAACAGTAGTTGATGACAGAAATATGGTGAGAGCTGTAAAGAAACCCCCAAAACATCAGTAAGTGACATCAGCAACGACCTCCACAGTGCAGGGGTGAAGGTATCACAATCCACTGTTGGAAGAAGACTCGGAGCAGAAATCTAGAGGCCACACCACAAGATGCAAACCACTCATCAGCAGGAAGGATCGGAAGAACAGATTGATATTTGCAATGAAGTACAGAGATGAGCTGCAAAAGTTCAGGAACACAATCTTATGGACTGATGAGACCAAGATTAATCTCTACTAAAGTGTGGAGAAAGAAAGGAACTGCTTATGATCCGAAGCATACAAGCTCATCTGTGAAACATGGAGGAGGTGATGTCATGGCTTGGGCGTGCATGGCTGCTTCTGGAACAGGTTCATTAATATTTATTGATGATGGAACTGATGATGGTCGCAGCAGAATGAATTCAGAAGTGGACAGAAACATCTTGTCTGCCAATTTACGGAGAAATGCATTGAAACTAATGGGGAGGAAGTTTGTCATGCAGCAGTTTACAATGAGCCAAAGCACACTGCCAACAAAACAAAGGACTTCATCAGGAGGCAGTTATAGCAAGGAAGGGCTATGCCATCAAATATTAAATGTTATTTGTTCTATTACTTTTGCTCACCTAACAATGCTGTCTAATACAAACGGTGATATGTCCTGAATTGTTTAACACATCTAGATGTGAATACCAGGAAATGAAAGCTGAAATTCTGAACTCTTGTCTCATACACATATGTATAGATAGGCATAGAGAGAAGGATTCATACATACACAAGAAGCTTTGACTTCTGACATTTGAGTCACACACTCCAAAAATACCATCACATTCACCGTTTCCGGTCCTTCTGCTGTTGTCGATGACCAAACTACTAGCTAAGTGAGGATGTTGCCCTGCGGCGTGAGCAGCTTTCTGTGACTCACCCTTTGTGCAGCAGCTCCAGTTTGAGGCCTTTAGACATCACCACCCTCCTGAAGCCGCGGTGGTTCCGGTTGATTGACAGGGTGAAACTCTGGTTATATTCTGGTGAAAAGAGAGCACAGATGGAGAAGCTGCCTTCTGAGACCTTACACATACAGTATTTCACACAAATAAACCATAAAAACGGTTCATCCATATTAACCTTCATTTATTTGCACAGCTGCAACATTTCCACATTTAGTCAATACTTCCACCTTCTTTGTTTTGAAACAGTGAGCAGCTCTTTTCATTCTAAAAAACTCTAAATTTTTATATCATATTTAGCATTCTTGACTTTTGCAAAATTTGTTTTTCTTCTTTTCTCTTACAATGTTTTTGTTATTGTGACTGTTGTCAACCAAATCTAATTCTCCATATACTGTATTCTTAAGACAGAAAACATCTTCACAATGATTTATTTTTATCTTGACTATTTTGTAATAAAATCACTCCTAAACGTAAATGTGTCTTAGAAAATAATCCCAAAAATAACAAGATATAAAATGGAAAAAAAAACATTTACAATAATTGGTGTAGCTGCAGCCGGCAGTAGCAAAATATGGCTGCAACTTAATCCTTGCGGGCAGGTGCGCCCTGTCAAAGTACGTAGAGCAAAGTAGTGCTTAGTAGTAGTTTTTGCCACTGACAGGCTCAGATTGTTATTATAAGTGTCTGACAACATTGTGGGAAAGATCCCTTCAGAGGTAGACCTTTTTGTTTAACCAGAAACAGTCACTTTATCGCTCTCGATATTAAAGCTACCAGACTCCATGGATACAAACAGTACTTTTATCTCGCAGAACACAGGTTGCTCTACTGCTGCCCCGGTCAGTTTATTTATTGTGTGACTTTAGAGCTTTAAAAGGGTTAAAACACCAAAGTCACAAAATAACACAAAGTATCAGTTTGAGGAAGCAGTAGACCAGAGAGTCTGGGAGCTTTGATCTCGAGAGAGATATAGCAACTGTTTCTGGTTAAACAAAAATGATCTTAGGTCTACCTCTGTAGGGATCTTTCCACAACATTGTCAGACACTAGTAATAACAATCTGAGCCTGTCAATAGCAAAAAAAATAAACGCTTTAGCGGATGAATTTTAACATTAGAGCAATTGCCTTCAAGGATTACGCTGCAGCTGTTTCTACTGACTGCTACGCGCTCACTCAAGACTGGACCAATTTCAAAGAATCTTGTCCTAATTACACACATAGACCCAAAAACATGTGAAAATTAGGTTGAAAAAGGTCCAGGTTAAAGATATCAAAGTTACTCTTCAGTGGATTGACATCATTTATGAAGAGTTTTGTGTCTTGATTGTTTAGACAAATGAAAATAAAATATCCACAAATGCCAATAAAATGATGCAAACACATGACAATGTACATGTCTCACCTGGGGAGTTAGTGTTCTTGATGACCGCTGTTTTGTGTTTCTGCGGCTGCTCCTGGTGGCAACAAAACAGACACACTTTTAAAGGAGTAAAGTCACCTGTATGAATCGTCTCAGCAGCCTGCGGTGGCTGTGAAGAGCTGGTAGAGTGAATCTCTTACCGTGCTGGGGTAGGGGAAGTCAAACTTGACGAAGGCATCTAGGTCATTTGTTTGGATTCCTGCGAGAAAGTTTATCACAAAGCATCAACCAGTGTGTGCTTTTTCTTTTCAAACCAGACCTTAAATATTTGACTGAATTCATTATGGCCTTAATGACCTGAAGCTAGGTCTGTTTAAGACATAAGATTTAAGGTTTAATTTTTCCCCTGAACCACAACAAACTTGAATTTAGTATAAAACGTGACTTTTCAGTGTTTTCAGAACCATTGTTCTAGTACTAACAGACCTACTGTACTGTATAAAAGGACTGATGGGTGAAGATTTTTGTTTTTACCACTAGGAGCTGGAAGATTCATCCCTTTGACAATAGTAACAACCATGTCAGTGCTGCTCAGCTCTGGAAATATCCTGAAAGGTAGGGAAAGAAAAAAGTAATAAGTATTAATAATTAGGTAGACCTGCAAAATCTGATGCAATCCAATACAACAGCTTAGCCATGGTCAGTTCTGATTTACACTGTCAGAGAGGTATTAATGAAACTATTGATCCAACTCTGTTTCTCAGCAGGGTTTCAGACTGATCTGCCGTAAAACAACACAGGGTGCTGCGTTAGTGGGGGAGCGTTGTTAAAGTTACCAGTGAGACGAGACAAGAGAGAGATCTCTCTCTCTCTCTCTCTCTCTCTCTCTCTCTCTCTCTCTCTCTCTCTCTCTCTCTCTCTCAAAATGACGTCCATAAAAAGTGCTTTTTTTTTCCACCGAAAGGCTCATACTGTTATACGAGATGTCTAACAACATTATGAAGGGTGTCAACAAAAACGAAGGGTGTCCCTGGGAGTCACTTGTAGGGATTCTTTCCAATGTTGATGAAGCAGAAAGATTAAAGAGTTTAGCTAACTGTGCACTTTTGCAGTATAATGTAAGAAACATGTGCCCACCTGACAGTGTGAAATGATCTCTCCTCAAAGTGATGTTTAGGGGGAGGAAGACCTCTGGACTGAGCCAGCTTCAGGACCTCCAGACTTTTCTTACAACTCTCCGCCATCTTCTCAAACCTGGAGCACACACAAAAATCAGGATTTGACTAATCAGGTTTACAGTATAATGAAATACACAAATAGAAAGAAAATACATGAACTTGTTGTTTTCTGATAACAACTCTTTGGGCTCTGGTATCACATTTCTGTCTGTTCTGAGTGTACGAGTTTGTACGTTACTGTTAACAAAATAAAAAACTGTTTACTGCTTACTTTGTTGTTTCAGTGACGTTCCCCAGGTGTGTGAATTGCTTGGAGTGAGTGATGCATTTCTAAAAGGAGGAAAGCCAGAAGAAATCTCAGATATATGTTTGTTTTCACAGCAAGAAAAGAACAGCGCAGAGAAACCAGACAGGGAATATGGAAAAAATATTATTTATTTATTTTTGGCATCAGGAGGAGAGCTGAAAATGATGATGGGAATTCTTCTCTTTGAAGTAGGGATGCAGCCACTGAAATTAATCGGCCTCGGAAAGACTGAACACATTTTACCGAACAATTACGTTGACATGTCAGCAGTGTGGAAGCACTTTAAAGTGTCTGAGAAAGACGCTGTTTGCAGACACTATTCTGCTGAATTGTCTCCTAGCACATCCACTCCATCTGGGTCGAACTTGATGAATTTTGGGTCGAACTTGATGAATTTAGCGCGAGAAGACACATGTGACAACGTTCAAAATAAGGTGTCTATACAGGATGGAAATAAGATTAATTGGATTAAAGTAATAAAAAAGGGACTTGATATCAGTATCAGTATCTGTTGTTATTTTGTAAACCCTGATAAGGTTGTAATCCATGCAGGAACATATACAAAAAAAAATATATATACATAAAAAATACATCTTGTTTCTATTCTAGGTCTACTTTTAGTGCTAGTTTGTTACAATGACAGCATTAAAAAAATGAAGATGATAAACTTATTTATCCTGATAACATGTCCTAATAAAACATGATGCTCTGGTTGGACACTTTTGAATCAACATTTTCATTTTTATATATTTCTACAAAGTCTCTACAACAGTTTTACCTCATGCTGCTCTTTGAGGATCTTGACCAGTTGTGTGTAAACCTGCTCTGCTTTCTCTGAGATCTGAACTTCACTGTGATGAATCAGGATGAAGTCTCCGTCTTCGTCACCAGGGGGCGACGGCACCTACAGGTACAGCACACAGAGGATCAGCCACAGCTGGGATTACCAATATACAATATCTCCACCATGATTCTACGATTTTGTCCCAATTAGGCGATTTAAGTGACAGTGGTAAAAATGCACCTTTAGATAGCTCAGAACATGTAATATCAGAAATAATACAGGTAAATATTTTGTGCCCTCAGCGGGTGACACACATTGACTTATTCTAGGGGTGGAAAATTAATCAGAAGAAAATCTTAATTGAGACAATGTCCCACATGCAAGACAGAAATACAATGTTATAATGTGAGGACATGTTTATTTCCTCTGGCTGGTTCAGTTAGGGGTTCCCTCCTGTCAAATTGTGTCAGATTTTGGATCTTCTCAGACCAAGATGGCTCTGAGTGACGTCGACCATGCTCATTTTGCTGAGGCAGGCTGCACCTCTGCTTCTGGCTTGGTCTATAATTCTGGGAGGTGATGCAGGTTGATGCAGGTGTTTCAAGAGCAGGAGCTCGTTTTGGCTCCACCTGTAGGGAATTGATGCTGAGAGTGAGGACACCATGGGGCTCAGAATGCCTCGTCATGGTGAGTCTCTGCTTTTCAAATCCTTTTGTAGCTAACTCACGTAGCTGTCGACTGGTTTGGGTGCGTGGGCAGGCTGCCACACCCAGATGATGACTGGTAGTGGGGTGGAGGTTTTGGATAAAAAGATATTTGAAGTTTAACTCTTCCTCCATATCTGGCTCTTTTTGACACCAAAGTACGCTTGTCTGAGTCGGTTGTAGTACTGCTGAGGAGGTTCTGGCCTCCCTTGCTTTACAGCAAGTGCAGCTGTTAGACCTGATTGTGCTGTCAAGTCAGAATATTCCTCTACCAGTGCCTGGCAGAGCGAGTCATAATCTTGCCTGACATGCCTGGGCTGTCACCTTGATCAGGTAAATCTTGTCGTCAGTGGTGGCAGCAGGGAATTTCCGCAAGTAGTATTCAATATCTTTTAGATAGATACTGGTCTCATTTGAGCCTGTAGACTCAGGCTCGAAGCGTGTTATGTGGCAAGCGATTTTGTCTCAGTCCCTGTCAGAGGGGCTTAAGTCATGGTCAGCAGTTGGCGGCGGATGCAGCCGGGGGGAGTAAGCCGTCTTCACCTGAGTAGGTGGAGTGCTATTCACCTGTCGCTCTGTCATATGATCCTGTGGGATCAGTTGTGGGAGTGACCATCCTCCTGAGGCTGGCAAAGGGGAGCAAGCCTTGTCTCTCTCTGGTGGGAGTGTTTTGTAGGAGGGAGTATGTTGGGCCGTCTCACATGAGAGCTGGAACTCTCTTCTGGTATCAGCCAACTCCTCCTCCTTGTTTTCCTGCTGTAGCGGGGATTGGGTTACTCTGTCCCTATCCTCTAGCTGTCTTCGCATTTCTTGCATGCGTTTTTGGTCAGCTTCTCTAAGTTTGCTGTAAACCTTGACTCGTAATTTTAGCTCTTTAATTTCCCCCACTGCTTGTCTAAGGAGGGTTTCTGATTGGCCAAGGGATTCAGTTGTGTCTTTAAATTTATTTTTAGTCCACTCTAACTCCTGTTCTTGCTGAAAGAGTGAGTGTTCAAGCTGATTGGTCTTTTCCTGCAGCTCAATTTTCTCCTCATCGACTCCACCCTCCTGTGGGAGGTGGCAAGGAGCTTGTAGGTCAGTGATGCGTTCTTCCGCTTCACTTAGCGACTGCCTGGTGCTTTCCAGCTGCTGTTCAAGCTGGTGCGTGTGCTTAGACTGGGCAGACATTACAATAGCTAGTTTTCCTAGCATCTGGGACAAGGCTTTGTCCTTTGAGGAAGTGGCTAGAGCGGTTGTTACCAGTTCTGCAAAAATTGTTTCAAGGTTCACCGCATCGGTGCCTTGTAGTTGGCTTGAGTAGCCAGGTATCAAGGTCTCAGTCATGTGGGCCAAGATGGAGTCAAAGTGTTCCAGTGGGTCGCCCCACTGGCTGCCACTAAGCGTGGGTCTGCCATGTTCAAAGGCAGGTACTCAAGCGGTTTGGTTAAGGACTTTGGTGTGAGTCCAAATCAGACAACAAACAAGTGTATCAACTCAGAGGATATGCATAAAAATACAAAAATAAATGGGTGTTGCTTCTATAGCTTCCTGGAGCTGTTGATGTTCCGTTAAGTTAATTTGGAAGGTTGGAATCTGAAGAACAGAAGGATCAAAATCAAATCTATGGACTCAGTGATACAATTTGCTTTAACAAAATCAGAAGTGGACTACAGGTGTTAGCTGGTACAGCAAACCTGAGCCAGTCAGTTAAACAGAGTTTCAGCTAGTGTGTTTACTAGTTGAGAAAAAGGAATGTCAGGTTGGGGAAAGCTGACTATCAAGTCAGACTTAAATGACCAAACTGAAAATTCAAATTTAGGATGAAAGCAAAAATAGGAAAAATGAAATTAACTCTCACTTGGGATTAAAGTTAAATGCTATAGATCAAATCAAAGTTCATGTTACAACTAGCTTGACAATCAAAGCTCAAAGCTGTAGGTAGTTTTAATAATTATACAATTATTACTAGTGATCAGTTAGTTAATAATCGCTCAATTATCTTAAATCAGTCAGTCAGTCTCATATCTAGGGTCAATTCTCTTGGCAGGAACTAGAAATAGGCAACACACACAGCTCTTGATTATATTACAGTGAATTTATTCTCTAACTAAGGTGATAAAAAGATGGTTGGATACAGGGAACATAAGCATTTGCTGAACAATGAGCCTGGAGGTTCGATTGTGGGAAGCATTTGACTCGGGGTTGACGCGGGTGGGGGGCCCACAAGCCCCTCGCCCAGCCCGGGGAGAGCCACCCTGGTAGGGTAAAGTGGCGCCCAGAGGCCTAGACCTCTAGGGCTTTGGGCAGTGTTTATCGGTAAAAACACTCTGTCATATTTTCGAGCGAGTGAAATTTTGACTTGTTTTTACCCATAAACACTGCCGAAGCCCTAGAGGTCTAGGGCATAGACATCCAGCTGGGGAGGGGGCAGCTTCCCTGGAAGCCTGCCCAGCCAGGGCTCCTTGCTCTGGGCCACACACATCCAGCTGGGGAGGGGGCGGCTTCCCTGGATGTCTGCCCAGCCAGGCCTCCATGCTCTGGGCCACACACATCCAGCTGGGGAGGGGGCGGCTTCCCTGGATGCCTGCCCAGCCAGGGCTCCATGATCTGGGCCACAGACATCCAGCTGGGGAGGGGGCTGCTTCCCTGGAAGCCTGCCCAGCCAGGCCTCCATGCTCTGGGCCACACACATCCAGCTGGGGAGGGGGCTGCTTCCCTGGATGCCTGCCCAGGGAAGGCTTCAGGATCTAGGCTATATATTGCCCTATCACTGAAGTAAATGTGATCCTGTTGAAGAGAGAGCCAGGCCTATGAGTCAGTAGCAATTCTGCCCTCTTCGGTGAGACTTAAAAATGCATCACCTGGGGAGAGGTTTACCCTGTACTCACCTGAAAATGTAAGAAGCTTCCATGTTGTCTTTGAATTCTGGGCCTGGGCTTACAGTACAGAGGAAGAGCTATGCTTTAAATGTGTGTGTCATTAACCATATATGTGAAAATGCTGGGCAGAAACAAGAACATAGCAAAAACTTTAAGAAATCTGACCTCTGACCCCGGGCGGACAGGCATGCCAAATTGAGTCTGTCCTGGTGTATGTGGAGTCATCCAGTAGAGTCATCAGTCCTACTTGAAATTCAACCCCGAGTCCAACGGTGCAAACCGTTTGGCTCTAGCACCTTCCTATCCTATGGCATTTACATGTTTTAATTAATTTACCCTGGTCTCCTAGAGCAGAAATAATGACTTAAATGAAAGCTGGCTGAATCAGAGTGTCACACTCTCATTCTCAGCCTGTGGACAGATGCAAATGCCCCCCTCCCCCCACAGGCAGCTGTAGGACAGCTATGACTGTCTGCAGAGTTGCCTGTGCACAGGGTCTATTATACTCTGATCACATGTGATACAAAGGAAATTCAGCCAAAATCAACAAGTTAGTGTGTAGGTAGCTCTTTAGTGTTAGCAGGTTTAAAAATAGGTGTTAGAATATTTCTCCTCAACTTCCACGCTACGTTCGGTTACCTAACAACAGACATTGTTGAGTTTTTCAGTCTCAGAACAAGAATTTTCCAAGAAATGATCAGCTGTTACAGTGCTTATAATCGAATTATATCAATCATATTCAGCCTTATAGAGAACTTACAGCAGAGTCCTCCTCTGCGAGGGAAAATGTTGCACTCTGCTTTGTGGACGCTGTCAGTTCACTGACCCACATTCGGATTCGTCCCTCAACATGTGTCTTGTTGACCCAATCTGAAGCCTGGAAAACAAATAAAGAACACAGTGGGGATTAATGACATGACTACAGGGTTTCCTCAGTGTGTATAAAGTCAAAGTACTTACTGTAAATGCCCTCACTGCTTCTGGTCGCTGGAAGTATCTCAGGACCAGGATGGCTTCGCAGAAGTAACGGAACAGCGTCCTTTGGTCTTCTTCCACATGCTGCTGATCCAGGAGCCTCCCGCGGATGTCCAGCATGTCCATCTGTGACACTCTGAGGACTCTCTGGCAGTCTTGGAGAGTCGGCTGAGCAGGTCTCGAATGATTTGATGAAACAAAAAACAAATAAGGTTGTTTCTGTGCCTGGCAGCGTTCCAAGATTTAAATTTAATGACTCTGCATTAAATTAAAAGTAATACTAGTGAATAACAACTCACTTTTTGTTGCAAGTTTCAACTGCAGCGCCTGGTGGTCTGTGACTGGATTCAGCAGGTGTGTCCATGGGGTCATTAAGAATTAAAAAATGCATGTCACGAAGGTCTTCCAGAAGAGCCTGTCTGGAAGCCTCATCGGGGTACCGCCTGACCATGACGTTGTAGTCCCAGGTTCTGCCTTGAAGGGTCCAGGCCTTCATCGACTTTTTGGCTCTGTCCACCTCTGCATTCCTCTCCTCATTTGTGTGGTTCTTCAGGCAGACTCTTAACAGGTGGTTAGGCAACAGCTCCTGTGGTCTGAAACACTGCAGACAGGAAACGATGCGGCGATCCTTGTCACTGTGAGAGAGAAGGTAGACGGTTTAGTTTGATTAAAATCGTTTCATAAAACAAAATAATCCAGAAAGACTTGAGATAAGGAAGTTTTTGATTTGGCGCTACATAAATAAAATTGAATTGAATTGAATAGAGTTGATGGGAAAAAAAGATTGGATTTGACCTAAATGGCACAATAATCAAAAAAATCAGTTCTCACATTGGCCTATCACATTCTCAACACAGACATGTTTACTTATGTCATATAAAGAAAAACTTTGAAGGTGAAACAGATTCAAAAGGGAGGGGGCTGGTGTGATCCTAATACAATGAGGTCCAAAGTGGGCACTCTAATTACAATGCCACAATGCAGTCCAGACTGCTGCCTCTGAAAAAGCCTTTGTTTTTGGATTTTAGGCCATGATCAAATATATGTTCTTGTCAAATTATTATTTTATGTACTTATTATTTCTAAGTCAGGGACAAAACACATACAGCTTGTAGTTAACTCAAAGTTAAGAAAAGAATAACTGTAGTAATTTAGTCATTAAGGAGTGTTTTGCTAGATTTTTGCTCATAGTATTGTCAACCAACAGGCCACACTGGGTACAGCAGTAAGGCTGTTAAATAACAAGAAATAGATTATTTACTTAAGCTTACATATGTTAGTACACGTGAATGCATTCTTAAAATGTAAAGACAGAAAATACAAATGATCTGAACTTACCGCTTGGTTCTTCACAAATGAAAAAGCTAGTTTACAAACAAAGGAAAAATGCAGGAGGAATCTTCAGTGTTGAGGGAAACCCTTTTCTTGAAGAACTGAGTACATGGTGCCTCTGAGGTCTCACCTTATATGTCCACTTGATAGTCCCTCCCACCTTTCTGCAGCAGCCAAGAGGGGGGTGGGCTGACCATGACTGATTTGTTTTTAAATAAAGTAAGTCAAATGTAAGAAAAGACAAAGATGAGTTACATAACACATTTTATTACATGTTCAGTGTAGGGAAATCTGATTATTCTGATCATTACATACAATGTTGGCCTGAAATACTGAGCCTGACATTTTGGGAAATGTTTGAATTGTAGGCCTGGGCTTGCAGTACAGAGGAAGATGAAAGCTTTAAATGTGTGTATCATCAACCATATATCTGAAAATGCTAGGCAGAAGTACATACCAAAAACTTTAAGAGATCTGACCTCTGACACCAGGCAGACACAAGTTTCAAAATAAACAATGTTGGTCTCCAGTGAAAGGCCTGACTCTAGGCTATAGATAGTATAGTAAATGTGATCCTGTTGAAGAGGGAGAATGTTACCCTGAACTCACCCAAAAATGTAAGAGATACAGTACAAGCAGACTCATTTTACCCTGGTCTCCTAGAACAGGAATAATGACTTAAATGAAAGCTCGCTGAATCTCAGCCTGTGGACAGATGCAAATGCCCCCCTCCCCCCACAGGCAGCTGTAGGACAGCTATGACTGTCTGCAGAGCTACCTGTGCACAGGTGCAAGTTTACCTGGAATGTGGTTGTTTAATTTAACTTTCATCAGAAATAAGTTGTTTGCAGCTAACTGCATTCTGCTGTCCAGTCAGGGAGCATCCAGCATACATACAAACAATTTGTTTCTGTCTGTAAACAACCTGTACAGTTAACACTCCTTAGTGACATGTAAATAGGTTTGATGTATGAATACATCTTTATTAGCAACCACTCATAGTTTGACATGTGCGTCTATTATACTCTGATCAGTGATCTCAGAACAATGGAGGTGTGTTTTGGACACACTCATCAGTATGGCACACATGTCTCAGTTTTAAAGTTTTTAATCATCACATGTGATAAAATGTTAAGAAAGAGACTACATGAAAAAGTTAGTGTGTAGGTTTTTAATGAGGTGGAATAGAAGCTCTTTAGTGTTAGCAATTCAAATTGCTGTTTTCTTTCCTCCCTCTGCAGATGCTTTCTTCCTTTGCAGGCTGATGGTCTGTGGCCTGCTTTCTTCTGTCTTCCAGCACACTCCATGTCTTCCCTCTGCAGATGTTTGGAGCTCTGTCTTGTCTGCAGAATCTGTCTTGTCTAACTGAGTGTCTTGCTTACAAAGTCACACCCTCCCCCCCCCCCTGCCCCCGCTAAACAATAGTAAGCAACCTGATTGGTCTGCTTGACCATGACATCACACAGCTGGTGCTGCACAGATAATAAATACTGCAGGTAAGGAACCATTCATTCACTTTGTTTTCGATTCTGATTGCAGAGACCACCTTTTGCCCTTTGCAAGGACACTTTCAACTTGAGCTACACTCCTGTTTTTGTGCTCCTTGTCTTTGGCAGAATTTTCTATACTTTCATCCCAAGACTCTCACTCCCTTTCCAAGGACTTCTTTTTTTTTTGGAAAATGGCAGCAGAAGCCGACAAGTAAGTTCAAATTTCTTTTCTCTAGTGGATTTTTACTATTTGTGTTGTGTCTGTTCACATCTGTGCTTGTTATTGACAATTCAGTTGACATGATATGGATAAAAGCAGGATAAAACTAATGTTGATAATAAGCAAATTGTGACAAACTCAAAGATAGTTTTCTATTATCTGTTTAAATTAAGGCTTGTTTCTCATCCCTAAAACGTGTGAAATAGATTCCAAAGGAGTGACATGTAACTTTTGGTGACCTTAATTAGGTCAAGGGTGAAGTGTGAATTGGTCAGCCACTTTAGCACACCTCAGGCCTCTGTCCTAAGAATGCTGAGAAACCAGTTCTGGTAGCACTACAGTATGAGAGGTTTTGCTTTAAAAGGAAACTGAACTAGTGGAATACTTCCCTCTTAAACAGCAACTTTATGTATATTTTTTATTTCATGTATATTTTATATTTTAACTGTATATTTTATATTTTAACAGATATTAACAGATATTTTTTGTTTGTCTCTGCAGATGCTGGACGCATACTACATGTGGATCCGCCCGGGTCAAGATAATGAAGACAGGCTGTTTTTGTCCTCAGCGGGCACAAAGGTCAGGAGTGCGGGCAATGACGTCACTCGTCTGCACGCACAGTAAGTATTAACAGCAGTCCATAGGTCCAAAAATATCTGTTGAATTAGCGTAACGGATTTGTGCATTTAATATATAGATCAGCCTCAAGAAAATTATATAATTCAAGTTTGGGAGCTTCATCTGATATTTCTTCCCCATTGCAGCTACAAACTGCCGGACATCAAGAGCCAGGAAATTCGTAGGACCGTGGAGACAGATGCTGCTGCCAACTTCACGGAGGAGCAGAAGGCGTCTGTGGCACACTACATGGCCCATTCGACTGCTGTGGCAAACCAGCACTACCGGATGAAGACCCTGGACACTGTTGTGGCGACCGCGAACCTGCTCAGCTCCCTGACACGGTATGTAATCATCTGAAACAGTCAATTATTAATTAAATATTAATAATTATATTTGTCTCTCAGTGCTCATCCACCTGTTTGTCAGTGTGTAACCTGGAACTTCCCCTGTGAGTGCCACCCGTCTCTGGAAACCGCAGGGAGATGGATCAGACACTCCAAAAAGAACTTTAACGTGCAGCCACGCCACTGCACAGTGACACTTCCAGAAGGAGACAGACACGTCCTGCTCTTTCAGGCCACAAAGGACATTGTCAATGACGAGGAGATCCGCTTCGACCACGGTGTGAAGAGGAGGTCTTTTCGTGGGGAGGAAGAGGAGCTGAAGTGGCTGGATGTCTGACAAGTTTCCCTGACAGACTCTGTCTTACTGTATTATATTGTACAGCTTGTGTTGTTATTGTATAATGAATGCGTGTAAATAAAGTGTGTGTGATTTAACATTAACCGTTTCTGTGTCTGACTCAAATAAGGGGTACCTCACTATGGGCCTCTCCAAATGGCCACATTTTCTCACAGTAAAATCCCAGAGACCCCGGCGTTGGCATAGACATTGTGGAAGGGGCCACGAACATGAGTCATTTGAGGCATATCTGCTTACATCAGTAATATGACAAACACATGCTCATCCACTCAGTGATTGCTAGTAAAATACTGCCAGGATCTCACTGATTTATGCTTTAATTTTAATCATCTCCTGTGTGTGTGATGAAACAGGTAGAACTGAAGACACGACCCCTGACCCAGCTCACAATAGCTCTGTGTTTGGTAGAACTGAAGTCATGACTTGACTGAAAGCTGGCTGACTGGCTGGTCTCTGCCTCTGTACAGACGCAAATTTCCACCACACCCCCCACTGTCTGCTGCAGGACAGCTGGGTAGCAGAGGTCGTGTTAGGTGTTTACTGCCACCCAGTGTTCCCAGCCAAGATGACACAGGTTATAATTTATAAGAGAAGACCAGCCTGTTGACTGCTGATGTTGTTTGTAGTTCAATGTACCTACAGGCCCATAGCTGTGGTGGAAGATACTTTCTCATTTTTTATCTCTGTGTGTGGAATTTCTTCTGAGGAAATGAGGCAATAATTTACTGTCCATTTCTTTTCCCTTTTGATTTTGGGAAGATTTACACGAGGACATGACATGGCGTGCTGAAATGAAAACAATGTGTACAGAAATGTGCTTTAATTTTACAGTCTCTGTGATTAGAGACAGGACTGGAATCTCACTGTCACACTCTGACTGTCTGCAGAGCTGCCTCTGTACAGATGCAAATTCCTCCCATCCCCCTCGGGCTGCTGTGGGACCGCTGGAGGGGGTAGAGGCATGGATGGTGTCTACTGCCCCCCAGTGTTCACAGTCTAGATGACACACAGGGATTCATTTCAAAGAAAAGATGACAGCTGATCTTGTTGGATATTCAAGCTTTAAACCCAGACCCCCTGTCATGTTTTCATTACTAGAATATTTTTCTGTGTGGTGATTTATCTGCTGTTATTGACTTCAGTTCTAGGAGACCAGGTCAAAATGCTCGAAAACTTTTTTCTTCTTTTTTTTTGTTGTAACTTGTGCCAAAAAAAACCCTGCTTTGAGAAAAAGATTTGTGAAGATATCACCGTGGGCTTCTGACTTAATGTATATATATAAAGTCAGAAGCTGGGTAGGTCATTTCTGCCAGGTGATGTCACATTTTGAATGCAGTGTAACATTTTGCCTTTATCTTCAAAGATCAAAGCACAACGTCACACCTGATTTAAAAAATAATACATCAATGTAGGACGTCAAAGAACCTTATTATCGTGACGTCACATTTAGTATTGGTTTGAAATTGACAACATTATTACGTTTATGTAGGCTCTAATCAATCTTTAATTATTACGTTTATATATGACGATGAGATGAGATTTCTCTCTGTCAGTGCTGTGTGTGTTCGTGCTGTTCGTGTCGATTCATAGTTTTCACGTGACATCACACTCCAATGAAAACGCTCCCTTGAATGGCAAAAAGAATTTCCGTTGCCTTCCAACCAATATGCAAGTGATACACTGTTAAGCTGATGATACACGGGGCAACTATTTGAGCAACGTTGCCCTGCACGATTGCTCTATAAGTTGCTCTGTGTATCATCAGCTTTACTTTTTGCGTTGCCAAAATGCTGGATGCTTGTTTGTGCTTTTACTAATCGAGAAGACAAGCCTGAGCTATGTTAGGTGAGGGATTCCCCAGAAGGTAAAAGTAAACATTTCCGCAGTCCGAGCGGTGGCCGGAACCTGGCAGTAGAAATACGGCAGCGGATGCTGTAACGTTGTATGGATCAGATATGAACAACACTTGCAGTTTGTGTTCATATCTTTCTTTTTGTTGAGTTGAAAGGTGATCCAAATAAAATTTGACTGCTGCGTCTCTACGGGGGAGTCGCGGTGTGAGCCGCTATGTTGGTCCGTTGTTTTGCCCTCCAGGTCACTGTGCATGTCACGTGACTGAAAACTATGAATTGCTGTTCAAAACGTTGATTCAATATTGGTGTAAGATCGCCAAACACTACTGGATCTTCGTTTCTCTGCCAAAGATCTAGTAAGGTTTGATCATGGCGGATATAAAACTTTGCCCCCGCTCCTATCGGGAATACCTGCTTGCCTTTGCCGCTCTGAGGCTTCACATCTCCGGCGTAGGCCTAAGCGCTACCGCCGCCGGGGAAAACGCAGCGGTCAGCTGGTGAGGTTGAAAGCCTGTTTAGCGTCTTCTTCCTGGGCTGAGTACCAAGCGGTGCCTCGGCTCCTCATTCCTCGGCGATTGCTGGACCCTGTCGACGCCTGGTAGGTACCTGCTGTCGGCCTAGATGAGGTGTTCCAGCCATGCGGCCCCTGCTCTCCTCGCCCCCGCTGGCGCGGGGAAAATCTGCGGAACCTGCGGCCTCTGTGTCGGGTTCCTCAGAAAATCAGCGCTGCAGAACCGCCTGTTCCTGTCAGAATTGGCCTGATAAACGCTAGATCGCTAGCAAACAAAACTTTGAACCTTGAGGATTTCCTCTTCTCTGTGTGACTGAGACATGGCTGAGTGTTGGTGAGTCCAGTGCCTTTTCTGAACTCTTACCGCATGACTGTTGCTGTTACGTCGGGCAGAGGAGGAGGCATATAGCAGCTGTTATAAGAATGTCTAGAAATGTAATTGTCGCCATCATCCTCGGTCACCAGCTTTGAGCTGAGCTTATATCACACAGTGTTGTGTGCAGTGGTCTACCGGCCTCCCAAATACAATAAGGACTTTGTAAATGACTTGTCTGTAAATACGATCGTGTCCTCATTGTTGGGGATTTTAATGTTCATGTGTGTTGTCCTGAAAACCCACTGGCAAAATACTTTTTACACCTCAATGACTCTTTTAATCTTGTGCAGTCTGTGTCTGTATGGGATTAATATCCCGCCATGATTCAAAACTTTGAAAACTCAAAATCTTACAAAACATAGTTTTGCAAGATCAAAAACTAAGATTTGCAAGCCTGCAAACATTGTTGTTTTTGAGTTTTCCTTCTTCAGAACATTTTTTTAGGATGTTGCACAAACAATTTTGTTCTCCCAGTGCATTAGTTTGTTTTCCAGGTTTGAAACCTTGTAAATGATGATCTGAAAATTGAGATTCAAAAGGGCAAAACTTTATTACATTTGCACTCCTATTGCAAACTATCTTTTTTCAGAGCTGAGTTTACAACACACACTTTGCAGAGATACGCCCACACGGTTGCAAGCTTGCGCCTCACGTGATTTGTGGCATAGACTGTATATGAAAATGGACGTAGCGTTCGTGACGTCACCCGTTGGTTTCTGCAGAGCCGTTTTGCAGCAAGGGGGTAAGCCAGAGAAGGGACAGTGAAGCCGATCAAAGCCTGCATGGAGGGATGCATGTAGGCCCAAAAATGATGTCAAAACCCTGTGAGAGGTGTAACCGTATTGCTTAGATTATAAACTCTCGGCAATCAAAAAAAAACTATCAGAGCAATCATCTGCTTTGGTGTTTGACAGGTGAACCTTGTAGGTGGGCTGATTAAACAGTGATGATCCGAGTCAAACACACTGAGCCATGAAACGTTTTGTTGGCGCATTTCTACAGCTACCAGAATTACGGTGTTTCTGCAGTTCTACGTCATTAAACCGCGGTTATGCTGCGCGATCATGCGCAGTAGACGCTGGTGCTAACAGGAAGTGGCCCTGTAGTAGTTTTTTATTGGTCCAAAACTGGCTTCACTGCTCTCCATTCAAATCAGCGGGGTGGCTTCGTCCAGTAATTGGCGGAGCTGGCTGTTGTTCTGTCGATTTATGCTATCGAGATGTGCTACTTAGCGGTTCTGCGCATGACAGCTGTTCCATGTTTTCCTGCTCTATATTTGTTACTTGTTCACAAACGGTCCAGCAACACCCACCAACCCTTAAAAGCAGTGGACCTCAGTCCTCGGCAACATAATATGTGATTTAAATATTTTAAATAACACCAGAATTTTCTTCTCAAGGATTGCTTTTCATTTTCCTGTTTTTTTTTCTGTGTACCATCTGTCTGCCGTCTTACGAGGCACTTTCTAGAGGTGTTTGAAAACTCCTGATGTAACCGGTTTACATCACTTCTTCAAACAACAAAATAGTGGATAAAAATGTTAAAACAGTTGTTGAGGTGTAAAGTTGGATACATATATTCAAAAAATAATTTCAGAAATTTACACAAAGGAAACAACATCTATACACAGTTTACTGAACGTAAACTTGAAAATAAAGCAACTGCCATCTAAACAAATGCGTGGCAATAAATTGAATCTATACATTACTCCTTAAAACAAGTAAATCTTCATGACTCTGAGGGTCCCTCTGCGTTGACGTGGCTGGAGCAAAAGTTAGGATACAACATCATTGTAAATGCTTTGTTTTATGGGTCTGTAATTTCCTAACGATTCCCCAAATGATTCCCCGAGAAGTTTCATTCATGTAATTATTCATTATTCATATATGTACTTCATATATGTTGAATTGTATGCTCCCTGTAGACAAATTGTTTAGCTGACTTGTTGTCCACTGACTAAACACTGCCTATGTTACACTAGCACCTAAGTGAAATAAATTAATTGGAAGTTGCCAACACTGTCTCTATCTTCCCTATAATTAGAACCAAACTTTATTTACAGAAAATTTCCCAGAAAATTATTAGGAAATCACAGACCCATAAAATAAAGGGTTAGCACAGTTTCTTTAATAAGGAAATGGGGACTTGATGTCCCATGAATATCTCTTGCTCATCAACTGACCTCATGCTGTGCACTAAATAAAAACACCAACTACTGAAACATCTCACTTTTTAAAACAACCCTGCAAGTCATCCTATCAAATAACTCGGTCACTTTGGAGTGATCCCATTGGCTGCTAGGTGTGGATTAACTTTAACACACGCTGAAATTGTTTAGTATAA